TTGAAGGATGGATTCAGGCAAGAAAAACTTTGACGTGACACATAGAAACAACTTTCCTTGCGGTAGATGAACCGATTGATTCAATGTATTTGTTCCGCCAATGGGATTTGAACCCGTGACCAGTCATGACTCAGCGCAGATAATTAAGTAACTTAGGATTGGGTTTCTGGTTCCTTCTAAAATCTTTTACATTCTCTTTCACTCCCAGTAGCCCATTGCATCTTAGTGGCATTATCACCTTGCTTGGGGGGAATTGATTAAAAAATCTCACTATGCTAGGCTAAGCAGAACATTATATATAGTTATAAATGCCTCATCAGATAATGTCGAAATACCATATTGGATTTGATCTCTGAACAAATTAGGAATACAAGTTCCGCCAATGGGATTCGAACCCGTGACCAGTCATCAATCAGCGCTGATGATTATGTAACTTCAAATAGTGGCTCTGCCAGAAGTTGACGTTAAAGAACAATTATATCACTGTATTTGTCATTTTTGTGATTAAGAACATCCATCACACCATCGATTGCTTTTACAAACAATTATTCCACAATTTGTACGACGCACTTTACATTAGCTTTTCCACAATCCATATTAATAAATCTATAAGCATAAATAGACGGGAAAAAACCTACCTTTGTTTCTCCACGTGCTCTGCATATGACCTAAAGCAGATTTAGTAAATACATTTTCTACGCATCAGCTTCGCATACAACCACTTTAACCAAAACAAAATGAACAATATATTATGACCCGTCAGAGCCACTCCTGCTCAAAAATTAAAACCTTAATTTGGAGCCAACTGATATCTATATATAGAGGTATTATGTACGCTATTTACATTATTCGGACTATAGTCCTCATCTTTGTCGTCATGTTTATCACAACGTTTCGGCCGTTGTACGCCCCGGCCTTCATCGTGTGGTTGGAATGGTTGTTATCTCCTGTTAATTCGCCTCTGAAAGTTCTGCACTACCTTAACCGGGTATTGAACTCACACTCTTTGGGTCCTGTCACTGGATCTAACTAACACCTTTATTCACTGTGCCATGTGCCCCGGTTAAGGCAGTAGAGAACTTGGAGAGGGGGATTACCAGGAGATAACTGATAACTGACATCCATTAGACATGGCACGTGGAACTAGAACAGTCTACCTCAGTAAGCGAAATAAAGGGTTCAGTTCGACATTCCAACCACCTGAAGAAGGCCGGAGCGTACAACGGCCGAAACGTTGTGATAAACATGGCGACAAAGATGAGGACTATACTCCTTATAATGTAAATAGTGTACATAATACCACATCTCAGAAATATAGACAGATACTGAAATATTTTAATCTTAAACTAGAAATGCAATGTCAGTCATTTTCTTGTTTTCTTAATCCCTGTTCTTTTATTGTTCTCACTCCTTAATAATTCTTTTTTTTTCTTATATTCTTACACAATCAGTACCCTCATCCCCCCACCAAAAAAAAAAAAAAACACACACACACACACACCTGCGTCTTAGTAGCTTTATTGCTTTACTTGGGGTGAAATGATTAGAAAAAAAAACTTGCGTTTTTCCTTTTCTTTTCTTATACTAACATTTTGTTTCAGAGGGGAATTAACAGAAGATAACTGAGATCATGGCACGTGGAACTAGAACAGTGAAAATAAAGGGTTCAGTTCAACATTCCAATCACATGAAGAAGGCCGGAGCGTACAATGGCCTAAACGTTGTGATAAACATGGCGACAAAGATGAGGACTATACTCCTAATAATGTAAATAGTGTACATAATACCTCATCTCAGAAATATAGACAGATTCATTATATATATCGTTTCCGATATTACCACGAAATATTACAGGTATGTGAGACATCGAGAATAAAATGCCTGTCCGTCATATCGGATATTTTGAGAAGTACTGCTCATAGTATATCAATAATAGTCACTGAATTTTGTTATATCTGCTTCCATCTCACTCTGTTTTTATTTAATTCATAAACCTAAACAAATGGTCAAAATACCTGCCTCTGTTTCTCTACGTGCTCTACTACTTGTAACCCCGTAAAATATGATGATTTTTTTATTTCCTTGTGACTGTCATAATTTATGCTGTCCAAACTTTGACACATGAAAAATTAAAAGCAATATTTACTTGCATTATTTACATTATTCGGACTGTTATCCTCATCTTCATTGCCATATTCTCAACGTCCCGATCGATGTACGCTCCGGCCTTCTTCAGGTGATTGGAATTTCGAATCGAACCCTTTATTTCGTCTACCGAAGTAGATTGCTCTAGTTCCACTTGTCATGCCTCTCACTTATTCCCCTCTAACTCAATTCTCCAAGGTTAGGATTAGGCTTAATCAATGGATCTAACCAACGTCTTCATCCACTTGGCCATGTGTCCTTGAGTATTCAGTTACTGAACCCAAAGTGTTGTGAGTTCGATATCAGGTCAGAGCAGTGGTGAACCAAATTTGAATTGAGTTAAATTTAAATTTGAATAAATACATTCAAAATATAGGAGAAAGCCAGAAGATGGAGGTCACAACGGCAAGATCAAAATGAGACAATGTGGACATCAAGTCGAGCAAGTAATTAACAATCAGTGGGTAGTGCCTTACAAAACATATTTGTTGCAACAATTCAATTGTCATATCAATGTTGAAATCTGCTCATCAATTCATTCAATCAAGTATTGCATCAAATACATATCAAAATTGATACTAAAGTTTCCCTTTGATTTAAATTAAATTTAAATTTGAACAAACGAATGATTCTTATCCAAAATATAGAAGGAGAAATCCAGAAGATTGAGGTCACATCGGCAAGATCATTGAGTAATATTGAAATGCATCATTTTTTCCCACAAATTATAACAACGATTTAAAATCAATCAACATTTTCTTCCAAAAAAAAATGTGTGACATGCAGCAAGGCGCGGGTAATTCTCGTTCTTAATAAAATATTCACCTTATAGTAATGGTAATGTTGAAATCAACCGTTCCAATGCAAGAAATATTCGGCAGCCATTGACCAAAGATTTAACGTAACTGTCGGCTTAAATTGTAAAAACTTTCTATTAAAACAGTTTTTTAGTTAAATAAATTTCTCAAGTCTACTAATTGTTATTACTCTTTCTAATATTGATGGGAGTTTCCTTCCTAACCTTTTGTTTAAGATAGTATGGGAAATCAACATTTTCTCTTCGTTAAATTTGCTATTCATTTCAGTTCTTACCGCCGTTGGAAGTTTTCAACCTTAGATTTTGTTATTTGGTAATTTTTTATGTGAATTTAGAGTGCCTATTTATAGGATCTGAATTCATTCACTTGAGGCCATTTTTTATCATTGATCTGAGAAAATAGTTGTATATAGCTGATAGGTTAGACTTTTCTAAACGATTTAGACGCTGTGCATGGCATCGGGATCAGAGTTAAGATCTGGCGCGGCTATTTACTCGAGTTCTTGGGATAATGTTTTGTCTTGTAACATCTTACAGTGTTGTACAAAACTACATCCAGTGCAATCTAACCTGTGTTCACTTATCTCCAAATTTAAAAATTGGCAGCCATCATTCATTTAAAAGCAAAAAGGATACTTTAACTTTGTTTGTTTAAAAAAAGAAAAGAAATATAATTGTAAAAAAAAATTCTGGAAAAGCTACGCGAATTCAACTTGAGTGAGCGTTTCAGTTGAAGAATTCTGAAAGTTGATTTTCTCGACAGTTGAATTTTGGTATTACACGGGCAGTTTCTTCAACTCAATCCGTATCAAGTATTTAATCAAAAGCAAAAATAAATAAATAAATAAGGTCCGTAGTTTAGTTGCATAAAAATGATTACCAAATCTGCTAAAATATCGTTTTAATATAACACCATCTTTAAAGCTTATATAATATTAAGACCTATGTTCTTAATATTAAAAAAAAAGATATTAGGTTCTTTAGTTATGAAGAGTATTGAAGTAAAATCTAAAATCGAAATGTCAGTTATTTTATTTTCATTTTATTTCTTTTCAGGTATACAAAAAGTTTTTTTTAAGGTTTTTGAAGTAATCCGCCATTTTTATAAGTGAGCTTAAGTGAGTTTTTTTTTTCTTATACGAATATAACGAATTTGTTTTATGAAATCATTCATCCATTTATGGACCAATTAGTGTGATAATATTTTTAGTATATTCTTCGTGTTTCAAATATGTTTTTTTCATTTTTTTCCTTAAAAGAATTTAATTTGTTTCTATATTTCATGGTTTTCTTTCATTATTTTAAATTGTTCATCAAGGCAGAATGAGAATGAAAGAGATATTTTTTTTAATAATTAAATAAATGTCAGAAAAATCTGGAACAAGAATAAGATTCTACAAATCGTTTTTATAGTCTTTTTTTTCCTTTTATTTTTCCTCTCTTTTTTATTTCCTTTTATTGCTTTTTATTTCTTGAATTATTTTCCTTCTTCAGTGTTCATTCACTTTTTATTTATTCATTTGATATTTACCTTTCTATATTTGTTTCTTTTTTGTTCCTTTGTTTGTTTGTTTCTTTCTTTCTTTCTTTCTTTCTTTCTTTCTTTCTTTCTGTTCCATTTTGTTTTCTATTTCTTCCTTCATTCCCGCACCTTTTGTACCAGTTTTTTATTCCCCCTTTTTTCTTTCCACCCTTTTTCATTTCATCTCTTTTCTCCCCGTTTCTCTATTTTCTTCGCAAATTTTCTTTCTTTTCTTTTCTGTTCTTTTATTTTCCTTTTCCAGTTTTCATACATTTTCTCTCCCTGTTTTTAATTTTCTCATCTTTAAAACATATCTTAAATACAAATCGACACTTTTAATATTAATAATTACAAATCACTTCACCCAATACATACCGGTCTTTCTACCCTCTAAATTGGTTGTTGCAAAATACAAAAACTATGTCTTTCCCACCTTTTTTTTTTAACAAAATACTCAGTATAAGAATAATTACATTCACTAATGTCTTATTTCTTTCAAAAGTGTTTTCAAATGTTTTATTTTATTTTGGGTTTCCACCCTTTCTTCATCATTGTTATTTTCATCATCTCGAGATGGGTCAATGAGAATGGTTGCTCTTGTAATGAATCGTCTGGTAACGCACACAGGAAAGCGCCGTCTAGCGAATGTTCCTTGCACATTTTGGAAATGCGACTTAATCCGCATTCATGGAGAATTTCACACAACTCCTGTACTGACATGTCTTCTAGCTGAGCCGATTCTTTTTCATTGCTGTTACTGACATTGGTCTTAATGTCGTCACAAGCATCACTGCTACATCCATCTGCAACAGCAACTTCTGAAGAACGTTTTAATTTCCTTTTAGGGGGAACTGGAAACGCTGCTTTGGGAATCGTACTTATGACCTCAAACTCATAGACATCCTCGTTTATATTAACAGATGGACTATTTTCAGTATACGACTCCTCCTCCTCCTTCTCCTCCTCCCCTGTTGAAAAATCTGATTTCTCGTCGGTTGCTGCCGCGTTCCAGTTGGAATCTTGACTCATTTCTTCACTTGAAACGGAAGAAGTGCCCCGTTTCTTAAATGGTGAATGACGTCGAATCTGCAAAGTAGCCATTGCGTTGTAGTTCATGTATTCGTATTCTTGGTTGACTAAACTAGCTGAGTCTTCTTCAGCTTCATTTCCATTGTCTCTTACTGAAAATGTTTCATAACCTTCCATTATCGATTCAATTTCTGTTTTCGGTCTTGTCGTGTTCTTGTTTTCTGTTCGTTCATTTCTCGGATCTCCGGCTACAGTACTCGTTCCGTCATTTGTTTCCTCAATTAGAATGTCATCCAGATTTTGGTAAATATTCTCTTCCACTGGCATCGCACTAGATAGACATTCTTCGGATGGCGCACTGGCGGTCTTTGGAGGATCAATCTCGAAATAAAACTGCGACTGGCTTTCACCGCTTTTTTTCCCTAATGTCCCACTTTCGATATATTCATAAAGAGAACTGTCTTCATTCATCAAATTTGACAATATTGGATAGAGTTTGGTGCTCGCCTTCCGAATAGGTTCGGGTGTTGTTACCTTGAGAACACTGTTTCGGATTGCAGCCACATCTTGGGAAGAAGCCTTTTTGAAGATACCTTTTACAGATTTCACAGCAGACTGAACCTTTTTGAATATCTTGTCCTGTTTAAAGACAGAAAAAACACAAAAATAGACTCATTAGTATTCGGGGACGAGTACATATGTCAAAAAAGAAAAGAGAAGAAAAAGATAATGATTAGCGTTTCTTATATAGAGCATAAATATGGTATCTGGTAATAATAGATTTTATCTGACCCTGATGAGCGGTGTGTCCATAGACACACCGCTCATCAGGGTCAGATAAAATCTATTATATTATTTTTTATTAGATTTTTATTATTTATAATATAAAATATTTTATTGATTTTTTATTGATATAATGATTTTTATTATTTATAATATAATAATATATTATTTATAATAAAATAATATATTATTTTTTTATTAGATTTTTAAGTCGATCAGAAGATAAGTCAATTGAACTTTTATTAAACTATTGATTATTGACTATATATATATATATATATGTGTATGTGTGTGTGTGTGTGTGAACAGAGAATTTCAAAGGGAATCCAACGGAATGGTAAATACATAAGACAATTTTGACAACTTCTGTTTTGAGATGCTTCGCAGATGAACCTTTGTCATTAGAAACTGAAAATAAAATTCTTTTTTTTTCTGATGATGCTAGTTCATCAGCGAAACATGTAAATTGATTGATTTGATTCATTTTTTACGGCTTATCAACCCTTTGCAAGTAAATCAATACAGTAACATATTTTTGAACCGTAAAAATAATTATTTTTTGAGAGCGAATATTGCATTTAAAATTTTTGGGTAGGTACAATCCTACTATTTTTTTCCAGGCAGAAGTTCTACTACTGAAAGCTGGGAGACAGAGAAGGCGGAACAGATGGATTCATACATTTCCCAAGGGTATTTGCGCGTGAGTGTATATAACGAACCCGATTGGAATTCGAACTCGACTCTCCAATTTCTCATTCCGAGCCGCTATCCATTACACCACTCGCACGAAACATATCAAAATTGTCACACACAAACACATCCCCTCCACCGCACAGACACATTTTTTTATTTAATTCACAAGGCGATAATGCCACTAAGACACAAGGGGGCTACTGGGAGTGAAAGAGAATTAGAAGACTTTAGACGGAACCGGGACTCAATCCTAAACAGGAAACAAGAGAAAAACCTCTACTTCTTTTTAAAGACCGTGGAGGAGTATGAACCGAACGAGAGGTAAACTTAAGCACGGAGAGAAAGGTTTTATGTTAGGAACTTTCGGACACGCCTGTGTCCTTCATCAGTGGATCGAGGAATAAACAGAGAAGTAGGAATTGCTCACCGACAGATCTTTTTGTAGATGGGGTATTTTCCAGTGGAAATCGTATTGGTAGCAAAAACCCGTTCTGATTTCTCGATGTGCGAAACTTTTTATGAATGATTTAAAAATGATACAAGTTTCCGTAATATTCTCAAAAAAATTATTGCAGGAAGGTGCTTAATCAGATGTTAAAAGTGGTAGGAGCTAAGATTCTTGATTTACCCGATTCTCTCATAAACATCGTTTTAACATCGTGCCTATCTCTGTCACCGTTTTTCTTGTGAAGGGATTATTGTCAACATTACTACCATTGTTGTCATTGTTGCCTTTTTTTTTTTCGCTGTCAGTGTTGTCCATGGCAAAATGCTCTTGTCAGTACTTCCTCGGTTATCCGTACTTCGATTTTCCGGATTTCTGTTTTTTCTGTACCTCGATTTTCCGGACTTCGATCATCCGAACGTGAAAAGAACATCGATGATGACATTTCCTGCCTCATCCTGTGTTTGCCATTTGCTTTAAGATTTCCGTGTTGCTAACTCGCTCCGTCCACGGAATTCTCAATATCCACCTGTATTTGACGCTATACATACATATCTATTTACTTTTATCTAGCCTCGGTAGTTAGCGACAGAAAAACACAAGGCCAGCCAGAAACGCATTTCTTTCTTACAAAATAAATGAAGTGTTTGAAAAATGTTATTTGATGATATAAATATTCAATTTTTTTCCCAGAAAATGACTATTTTTTTTCTTTCTTTTTTGAGTATTCAATTTTCCAGAATTTTGAATAATCCAAACATATTTCTTCAAACCCTGTCCCAGGGTGTTCGGATAATTGAAGTAGTACTGTGCTCTCCAGCATCACTGTGCCTGTTGTTCTTGTGAAGAATGTTTTGTCAGTATTGTCCTATTGATGTTATATGATTTTGTCGAGCTACCAGTTTAAAAACAAAGGTTTGAAGATTGAATTACGCCGGTAACATTTCTTATTCTACTTACCCCTTGCTTAGATTTGTCGGCTGACTCAGGGAATCTGTACTGCGTATAGGTGAGTTCAAATGGAATCTGTTGGCTCTGTGTTATATCTGTGAAAAAGAAAATAAAAATGCTATCATCTCCTAGTAGATCAGGAAGGATTTTGCTTACTCCTGTTTCTGGGGTCTGTGTGGGCAAGGCACTGGGGAGTAGAGAAGACTTGCGGTCCCTCAGTCCCCAGTAATAACCACCACACATCTGATCTGAATAGAAAAATGCATGGATAATAATAATAATAATAATAATAATAATAATAATAATAATAATAAGAAGAAGAAGAAGAAGAAGAAGAAGAAATAAGAAAATCGAAATCTCAAAAATGTGGCACATGGGAACATCAACAATCCCTGTTGTAGTTGAAGCCCTCGGATTGGTTGAAAAATATACCATTAGACTCATTGAAGGTATTCATGGAATTCCATGCCTTAAAAAAATACAAAAAATTGTTCTCACGAGTACAGCCCACACCTTACGAAGGGCTTTATCTATGTAATGTATGTGTGATTTTTTGAAAAAAATTGCTCAGTGGAAAATGTCATGATGCCATTTCTGACCTTAGATCTCTGGGTGGGACCCGGAAAGAAATGAGTACACGTCAGAAATCAAAGGAAATAATAATAATAATAATAATAATAATAATAATAATTTAGAAGTGTTTTATCCTATTTATATACTAAATCAATCAATTTTGAGTTTCAACCGAACTTAGTCCAACCCCAAACTAAAATAATAGAGATAAAACTTACTGACAATGGTTTGCGATATTAACTTCCTATCTAACAATTTACAATAAATAGCTGTGACTGTATAATCATCACTATGACTCTCTTGCACACCTCTGCTTCCCTTGCATTATCACTAATATCGCAATAACCATAAAAATGATTAAATAATCAATTACCATTATTGCATGTGAAATTAATTCATTATAATTACATAAAAGCTGCCTACTGTGACCTGACGATAAGCGAACTCCTCTGTCTTGCCAGTTCGATTCGAACTGGTAGTCTATTACTGAGCTCAGTCAGTCAGTTATGTGCCATGCGTGATACACGCTTAGGCGATCATGTATCTTTCGATACATGACTGACGAGGCAGATTTATTTCTCGCAGTAGGTGACCATTTCTTTCTGCGGTAGACCAGTTGCCATACAAGGCTATATAACCCAGTCTGCCTTGCTATTTACCCATAGCTGGAGGGAGAAGAAGAGGATTCATAACTTTCCCTAGCGTATTAGCACGTAAATGAATGTAATGGATTCGACTGGAATTCGAACTCGGCTCTCCGATTCCTTAATCCGAGCCGCTATCCCTAACTCTACCGTAAACTAATCTACGCTGAGTAAATATTTATTTCTAGGCATCCTGCTTTTTTTTTTTTTTTTTTTTTGGCTTATTATAATATTTTAAATAATTATATATATGTGTGTGTGTGTGTGTGTGTGTGTGTGTGTGTTTCGTTAAAGACGACTGGCAAGGTACTGTGAAAACCTACTTTTGTGATGTCAACGAACACTCGTTGCCACTATTGTGATGTCAACCAATACTCGTTGTCACTTTCATAATGCTCGTTTGTAGTAGAGACTTTGTAATTGCAGATAAAACTTATAGTAACGTCGTTAAATAATACTGGTGTCAGACACTTTCGAATAACACTCGCACTAATTGTACTTGCTCGATAATACTCGCTCGAACAGTAATATGTATAGTGACCCGAATAGAGAAATAGTATAGTGAATAGTATAGATAAGAGGATAGTGTAGAAAGATCGTAATAGAGAATAGATTAGAAATGGCAAGCCGTATAGTAATAGAGGATAGACTAGAAATGGCAATCAATTAGACGCCAAGCTAATTCCTACTTATGTGTTTCCTCTATGGTCACGTGGTCTATTTAATTCAATAATGGAGTCACCTGTGTTTGCTCACTGGCGATCTATGTTCAAACTCAAGTGTCGACAGCGACACTTTATTCCTATATAACACCTACCAAGCTCCATCCGAAACATACTAATAGAAAATACAAGTATAATAGACTTATCCACATATAAAAAAGATGTAAAATAATGGAAGCCCTAATAATCAGCAAGGAAAAGCCAACACTAAATAACATTAATTACGAACACGGCCACAATGTGCTGACCGTATTGGGAAGATAAAACATTCGTGTAACTTCAAACATATACATAAAAAACACACATTCAGTTAAAAATAAAAAAATGAAATCGTCCTTCATAATGGCTAAAAAAGCTAAAAGTTCTCGGATATGCAAAATATTTGGACAGTTTTTACAAACTTTGTGCTCAGAAAAGAAAAAAAAACTTGTACGAAGACAAGAAAAATTAAATTAATTGCTTAATCGTAGCAACTTGTCAGTCGTCTTTAACGAACCCCTCCCTACATATATATATGTGTGTGTGTGTGTGTGTGTGTGTGTGTGTGTGTGTGTGTGTGTGTGTGTGTGCGTAACCTTTTTAGTTATTTTTAATTTTTGCTCTGTTCAGTGTATTGAGCACTTTTACGTTTTAACTTAAGATACTCTGTTGGTGTTTTTTTTTTTAATTTCTTTTGGCTAGACATTGCAGTGCTGATTGATTATTTTTTCTTTTTATTGAATTTCTTTTCTCTGATATTGGTTTGTTTAATATTTTTTATTTACAAATTGTATTATCTGTTTTTTTCTTCACACTGCCCGAGTATAGGTATTAAAATAATATAAAAAATATAATATATATATATATATAATCTTAATATATTGTTTCAAATCCTTTGTTTTACTCAGCGTGGTGTAATGGTTAGCAAGCTTGTCTCGCTAAAACAGTTACAAAGTTCGATCCTTACTGGGTGCTCCGTACTCCTTACTTTCGGCTTTGTGTCTAAGCTACGCATAAAAAATTATTAAGGGCACCTCGAGACGGTTTTATTAGTTAGCTGTTACAATGACGACTGATTAGTGAGTTCGATCCTCATTGGGTACCCTTTACTTTCGGCTTTGTGCCACATCTAAGCTACACTTGTAAATCACTATATATATATATATATATATATATATATATATATATATATATATATATATATATATATATATAAACAATAGTGAATCCGAGCCATAAAAGGCTATTTTACAACATGTAGTAAAAACAGAACCAGTCAATAATATTATACCAAAGCGTTATTGCACTTTATTCTGACTACTCATCTACTGACGGATATAACAGAATGCATTTTATACCTCCTAGATCTTAAGGGGAGTTAACTGATGATTTATCAGTATACAACAGTCTATGATTAAACCTCTTCAATCAACTCATATATTATAGAATAGGGATTATAGGGCTGGTGGCATTCTTTGCACCAAGTATTAAAAGTTATTAAAGGGTTTATAATATACTTTTTTCCATATATGATAGAGCAGGCATTTAGAGATAGTATCATTTCTATGCCATTTTATACCCCTTTATTTAAAAGAACCCCTATTATATTATTGAATGGATTACAAACAAGATTAATTTTACCTTAAATACACAGAGTGTGATAACGAAATGTATAAATAAATACACAACGGGAATTATTACATAGTGTTGATGTTGTCTTAAAAAGAAAAAAAAGGTCATTTTAGAAGTCAACATCACATTTATTTTATATTTTCTTTAAATGTAAAGGCACTGATATTTTTCTAATAACATACGGCTGAATATTGAAACAGGATGATTTAAAAAAAGAAAAGTTTATTGAAAGAAGCATTGATTATATATGGCTATTTTTAGACATGGATTAAAAATATTAAAAATAATAGATGAAATACTTATTCAAATATGCTTTTAAAATATGTGAGTCAAATTGAATGTTACCTCTTATGCTATAAATTCAGTTGGTGAGAGAAAGAGAGAAAACTCCTCTAGGGTAGCAATGACTTGTTAACTATTTCTCCACAATGAAATGTTCAATCTGACATAAGACCTTAAGTTCAATGTATTTCTCGAGACGCAGGAAAATGGTCGGCTTTTTCGATCGATGCAGGGAGTATCTGACCCCTTCCTCCATGCTTAGTCTCAGATTAGACCAAACATAGGGTATTGTTGCCGTATATAGTCTGGGATAATCAGCTATATATTTTCAGCCTTGAGTTCAAAATCCTTTAAGCAGTTTTGCGCGAGAAGATTATTCTACACACTGCCGATTCTTTCCCCAAAATGCAGCGTCGGAAGCCTATTTCCATAGCAAATGTTCAGACTTTTATCACTAGGAGATGCCATGCTACTTCAACAGAGTCAAATCACCCTCATGTCCCCGATATTCCAAATATTAGGGAGAACGGCTACTTTGTGGAACAGACAAACTCCCGCGTACATTTTCCCCGGGACACAATAATCTTAAACTCTTTGTCAAGGATCATTTCTTATTTATCCTCCCTATCCTATTTCAATCACCTCCTCTTTCATTCATATCACACACCTGATTCATCATAACCATTTTAACGATAAGCTTCTGCCTTGTGTGACCCTCCAGCCTTGTATTGGGCGAACATTATTTAAAAAAAGACATCATAATATATGATACTGAGTGAGACTCGGACATACTACTATAATAATGATATAAATTGCTAAGCAGGGCTCCACGTTGAGACATCCATTGTATAGAGTCACGTGTGTTCAGATAAAAAAAAATCCCTGAGTTTTCGTTAATCTCTGTTAATCTGTTGACGAGACTTAGAGAGGATTATTTGTGAAGAGAATAAGGCTGTTTTGTCATAGCTTTGTAAATAAGTTCATTTCTCATCAGGGGCTCAATGGATGTGACCTTGTGTATAATATATCTTCATCTAACAAATATATAAAATGTTTGCCCTTGCTTGTTGATGTTTAATATATATATATATATATATAGTAATTTAGTAATCTTAGCTTAGTTTGGCACAACTCTTTAACTGAACTCTCCAAGTTTTTTGGTTCACCACTACTGTAGCCTGGTATTGAACTCACAACTCTTTGGACCAAGTTACTTATATGGCAATAAGAATAACAATCCGAATAATGTAAATAAAGAAACAG